AAATAAATATTTTGTACATTCTGACTTTGTCAAATTGCACAAATAAGATGACTCTTAAAATAAAACAAAATTGAAAATGAAGGCTTGGAAAAACGAAATTAAGACCTTTGAAATTCTCAGCCAAGTTCATTTCAATGAGTATATTTTTATTGCCACAAATTTTGGAGGCTGAGATTGTGGAAATTATGATTTTTGGACAAACTAAATTTACAATAATAATAATAATAATAATAATAAAAAGAATTAGTTTTGCTTCCCTTCATCACCGCCTTCTTGTGTGTAAGCCTTCTTCCTCCTCTCAGCTTGGCCGCACAAACAAATCACAAGGAAACACGTGGCATAAATCAAGTGGACCTTCCAGTTGGTCTTGGGCGGTTGATGCAAGACCACCCTGTGAAACACCGCCACGTAGTAATGCAGCCCAACCGCAAAGCCCACAAATGTCTGCCCCAGGCCCAGCAGCTTTGAGCCCAATCCACATTCCGTTGAAAACACCAGCACCAGATACATCAACAGCAGCAACAGATACAATACGTACCCCAGCGTCTGGAGCACCTGCAAACAGACGTAGGAGGACGGCGACGTAGCGTAGAAGAACCTCAGAGGCTCCAGACCGGTGACGAGGGAGGTGAGGCAGAGGATGGAGAAGTAGATGGAGAGGTAAACTTGGATGAAAATCAAGAGTTTTTGGAGTGAAAAGTAGGTTTTGATGCGGTTGACGATGAGGGAAACCAGGACTAGAGGGATGAGGATGAATGCGCAGGAGACAATGGTGGCAATGGTGGGTGCGTGCTTGTGGCCCACGATGGGTTTGAATTGTTTTGTCATTTCTTTGTTGTATTTGGTAATGTAGGCTTTTGATGTGGTGGAGATTCTCTCGAGGTCTGGGATGAGAGTTTGTTGGAATTTGAGGGGTAGATCTCTGAATTCGGATACCAAATCATCCTCATCGTCTTGGTCAATCCAGCTGGGTTGTTTTTGGTGTTGTTTCTGCTTCTGGGTATTTTCCTGCTTGGGTTTTTTCTGTGGGGTTTGGTCCTTTTTGGATTTTGAAGATTTAGGGTCAATCAGCTTCTTTTCGACAAGGCTCTGGGTTTGTTTTGTGGAAGTGGGTTTGGTGGCTTTGTTTTTGGGTGAGCTTATTTTAAGTAGATCTGAGGCTTTCTTGGAGGAAGATGAACTGGACTTGGTAGGATTGGTGGGTTTCAATGTTAAATTGAGCTTCTTCAACTGGGAAGTAGAATTGAGCTTCTTCAACTGGGAAGTGGAATTGAGCTTCTTGAGTTGGGATGTAGAGTTGAGTTTCTTAAGCTGGGAGGTGGAATCGAGCTTCTTAAGCTGGGAAGTGGAATTGAGCTTCTTGAGAACGGACTTGAAAAGGGAGGAGGGGGTTGATGCTTTTGTTGAATTGGTGGCTTTGATAAGCTTGGTTTGGTTTTCGGTAGATAAATTTGATTTGATGAGCTTGGTTTGGTTTTTTGTAGATTGGTTGGGCTTGAGTAGCTTGGTCTGGTTCTTGGCGGAGAAACTGGAACTCTTCTTCTTAGGCTGGATTACTGCTTCATCTTCCTCCAATGCTAGCAATCTTCTTCTGCCTAGAAACTGTTCGCTTTTATGCCCCCCAGGATCCGTCTCTGTGGATACAAGGAGCATAGAAGAAGTCAAGAGAAACAGAACAAGATAAAGCAGAAGTACCTTTCTGAAATTGAAGTGCATGAGTGAAACCATTGGGGAGATTCAAGGATTTAGAGGACTGAGATTGGATCTAAACTTTCTGCATAAGAGGGAGAGAGGGGAAGAGAAAGGAGGGGAGGGAAAGATAAGGTTTGTGCGTGTATATATATATGTGAAAGAGACGTGAAGAAGACTGACTTTAATGCAAAAGTAGATGAAAATGTGGGATCAATTTGCAGTCACATGGTAGCAAGAGGACATGGTTTAGTGTGGTGTCCTTTTAGTCTGGACGCGTTTTTCGCAGTGCGGCGGTGCCACAGTCTCTAAAAAAAGAGCTGTTTTTGGTACTGATTTCTAGAAAGGGATCAGGGTGCTGTTAGTATGTAATTAATTCTTCAACTTGTAATATATTAGCACACTAATTGTGTTTAGACGGGGACAGGGTGCTCAAATTACAGGTCATGAGTATTCGATCCCACAAGTTTTCTGGACGGATAAATATTTGATTAGTCTTCCGTTAAATGAAGAATACTTGAATACACAGAGAATCGACACCATGTTAAATATTCCATGAGTCTTCAGTTTGCTGGAATTTGGAAATGAGTATTAAGTTAAATCCCATGGAGTTCACTTGTTCTTAACTAACATTCATAAATAATCAACTAAAAACCCTAAAGTTTGTTTGGTTAGAAGGCTATTTAATCAAGAAAGTTTCTATTAAAAAAGTTATTAGAAAAATATTATATGAAAAATTAAAAAGTATTGTATAAATAGTTGTTGAGTTTTATAATAAAATTTTATTAAAATTTTGTTGGATTATTAAATTTGTTATGTTTGGTAAAAATTGATATAAGAATAGTTGATAAAGAAAATTGTTAAGTGGGCTAAATATA